ACTGCAGAAATCGATTTCGAGATTTTAACGGAAATACACTTTTGGGGTCCCCAAATCCCGAAAAAGTGTTGTTTGTTTCAAAACGTCCGTCTGTCCGACCGTCCATAAACACCGCTAGCGCCTGCATCACATGTAGGATTTTTTCAAAATTTAAGAAACCCCTGTCCATCTGGATCGAGTCGAAGCTTTGCGATTTTGAAAAACATACTTTAAAATTTGGGGTACTTTACAAGAATCTTCTGAGACATTTTAAAAAATTTTCTCAAAAATGGCACCAATTTTTTTCTTTCAATTTCTTGTAAGAACTTCTGCTGTCCAGTAAGCTCCATCATCATGGGCCTTGGAGATGCTCCATATATTACCTCAATATTCTTCCATCTCGGAGCTTTTAAGGACTGTTACAGGCAACGTTCTTTTATCGTGGTGTTGCGTGAAAAATTTATTCTGGTTGCATGAATACAAAACATTCTGTTGTCTTAGTGTTATTGCTTTATTATATCTTCTTATACGGCACCCAAGGGCTGCAACGCACTTGTCGGTTTCGAAGTCTCTCCTCGAAATTCGACAGGGTTCTTCGAATTCTGTCTTTCATCCAATCGTCTAAAGAAGGCTGTCAGAGTGCGTACGTCCCAACGGAAGCTTTCAATCTTGCATTAAATACGCCTCAACCATGGGGGCTTGTTAGGCTAAGCGAGCTGTACTGTGTCTTTCGATGTTTTCAATTTTTTCCTTTACATATTTTTTCAAGACCCTGTACAACAGCAAGGGTTGCGCAAGACACATAGCTTACCACTTCCTCAAGCGCTGTCGATTGTTCTACATTTATTATTATTATTATTATTATTATTATTATTATTATTATTATTATTATTATTATTATTATTCCTCCAAATGACGACTAAGATGTTATGAGTCGGCTTAATATAAAATCTAGTGACTATAGGTGCCTCTACAATACTTTGCGCAAAATGTGAACAGTACCAAAAAAAACCAACAATTTTTGCACTTTCCAGTCTTTTGAATGACCTGGGAGTTTAGTCAAGTTCTTACACAAATTTTGCGGAACAAATCCCAGAGCTCCAATGACTATTGGAGCGACCTATGCCTCACGCCCCATATTCGGCTGATCCCGATTTCGAGGGCGGGAGATATCTGCCAGTGGTTGTAACTACACACCCTGTCGTGTCTCTTTAAGTATTCGGTCTTTGCTAGAGTTGGACAAGCTGAGACTGTATGACCATATGACCATTCTTTTAAATATTGTCCAAGGAGTGGTTTTTCATTCCACGATTTCTTTAACATTTTTTTGTCTCACATTTCATTTATTATTATTATTATTATTATTATTATTATTATTATTATTATTATTATTATTATTATTATTTCATTCTGGCAGGCGAGATCTCCCTTCCACACATATAAGAGAACTCTGAGGGCCAACAGTTACCCGTCAGTCGCTGGCATTTCAACGCTCAAAAGATCGCAAATAAGTAATCTCGCGGGATGTAACGAGATCATGAAAGCTGCCAATTAAAATCCATATAAGGAACCCTACCTGATGCTATATTTTTCAACCTTCTCAAACTCCTCACTTACGTCAATCACCCGTGCCAAACCTGAAACTCACTACAACTACGGAATTGGGCACCGCGAAAATCCGATTTGTATCGTGTACCGCCAGTTGTCGTTCTAAAGGCGCCAAGTAAAGATGTGATTTCATAGTGATCTGATCGGTTTTAATTTTTTTAATTCTGTTGGGAACGTCATATCCGAAATATTTTTTTCATCGTTTCTTTAAACCATAAGTAATAAGTGCAAAACTCCAATTTCGTATCTTGCTCTAAGTACTCAAATTTAACGTTGCGATTGCAATGCCAAAGGAAATCGTGTTAGGTTCATGAGCAGCTGAGATATATCTTGGCATTTTTAAACTACTATCATTTTCTAATATATTGGGCTAATAAATCAATTAACAAATGGTCGTAGCTTAAACTGAACTTACCGGGAGGTACACCTTTCTTTTCATGTCCTCTGCCAGAGGCACCTTTCAACATAACGCTTAAGTTTAGAGTAGTAAAGCAATAATTTAAATCATATACTTGTTTTCTTTTTTTTCTAGAATGCTTAAATTTTCTTACAGATCCTCCCCTATTTGCTCCATAAATTTGTTTGAAAATGAAATCAAATTGTAACATATTCTGTAATGCAGCGACCACGCCAACTGCATTAATATACTATTGTTTTATGTATTTTGATTATTACTAAAAATTAATTCGTGTGTAACATATTAAAAGAATCTTCGACTGAGTGTAGTATAATTATAATTCGACACAAAATAACGATATAAACGAAGATATGGGAACGGAGAACAAAAATTGTTTTGAAATTTTCATGAGATGGAAATTATTAAAAACTAGTGGATCTGAAACGGCACACACTTTCTCTCATTATTTCTAACTTTTCCTCTTCGAGACTTACCTGCGCAGTTTTTACGCGTCCTCATTGCTCAATATGTGAGGAGAAATAAAAAAAAAAAATAGGATCTCTTGTTAAAATTGTTTTTTTTACAAATTACATTAATTTCAAGCAAATATTAAACAAACATTCTCGTTTTTTAACAAAAATGTGCAATACATTATTTAAAAACTAATTATTTACAAAATATTTGATTTAACAAGATAATCTCTATCATCAATATTGTACTTCTGCAATGTTCGATTGATTGATTAGCGATCAGAGGCGCGTCAACTTCTAAGACCAATAGTCTCGTAAGTGTAGCGCATGTTTTTATCGTGGAAGGTGGTGGTGATCTTCCGCTGGTTGGCAATTCCCGGCGCCGACCTACCCGGTCCTACCGTCGGCTTGCGGGGCACCGCCCTAGCCGGAGGAAGCTCTAAGCTCCCGAGTGGTCTCTCGTCATGTGTAGTAGGTAGTGTAGTGCATGTGTGTGTGTAAGAAAGAACAAGGAAGAGGAAGGAACGATCGCGCGCGGTCGATGGCCCATTTGTTATGATACTGCTTCGGCATTCGCCTGGTGTTGATCGGAGAAATCACGGAACACTACCGATCAATGCAGCCGGTCGCTAGAATTCTCATCCAGACAGCGGCTGAATTCCACCTAGCTATCTAGCTAGTGTCGAAAATTCTGCTTCCGTTGGGACTCGAAACCTGGGACCTCCCGATCAGAGGCACTGTAGTGACATCAGTTCATCATCATCACCTTGAGCCACCTAAGCTGATTCAGTGTTCGAATATACTGAGTTTGCTGGAAGTTGGACTAGCACAAGATTCTTTTGCCGTCC